CCCCAAAACCCCAAAACCCCAAAACCCCAAAACCCCACTCTCCTTCCTTCACTTTAAATATTTTTCCAAAACATCCACCTACACTCTCATTACTACGATCTCTCCAATTGTGGGATCGAACTAGTCGACAGCAACAACGAGTCCAGATCATCATCATCAAACTCATCTGCGTAACTGTCATCGTCTAAGTCAAGGTCAATATCCAGTAGCCCCTCCTGCTTGCCATTTATATCGGAGCTCTCTCTTTTGATTATCTCTTGCTCATCCTCTTTCACATACTTCTCGTAGAATTGCTCGTTTGGGAATACAGAATGTTGTTTAATTAGTTCAAATTTCTTCTTGTCCTCTTCATCTAGATGCTCGGGTATCCTGGCTGTGACATTATCCCTCGCGATGACATGATCGGCATGAATGTACTCCTGTTCAGAGGTTTTCCAGTTATTATCGATTTCATTCAGAAGTGAGATGATTTCCTTGTCGATGGAGACCAAGTGGATATAAAACAAAGCAATTTTCTCCTTCTCTTCGGTACTAAGTAAGGCGTCACTCAAGAGCACAGGCTTTTTGTAGAATTTCTAAGCAAAATTAGGAACGAATGTGTGAAAAAAGCTTGAATGGAGATTTTGAAAAAAATAGATTTGGGAAATTTTACAATTTTTTTAAGGTGAAACATGCATTTTGAAAGGGGTATTGGTAATAAATGGGGTTGGGTCGAAGGAATAGAGTGATTATATTTAAAGAAGCTTGACAGAATGAGTTTCCGAACAGGAATACAACACTAGGAGCCATATCAAATTTAGCTCAGAAATTACTTACACACTTGTAATTAGATTCAAATTTCGATTCTTCATTATCATCACTAAGTGAATCATAATCGCTGTCATCACTATCTATCCTATCAAGAATATGTTTTAAACCATAGTCCCGAACAATGAGCTTTATAGATATGAAGATCCTCTGTTTCTCTTGTTCCCCAAATATGATATGAAAGAAATCTGGACTAGACAGCTTAGACTTTCGCTTGCAGATGTCATTATCATCTTTGAGCATCTCGAGTCGCGATTTGAGATTTTCGTCTTGGTCCCCATCTACAAAATCATTATAATATTTGTTGAGTTTCTCTTCACAGAAGCTAATATTCTTGGACATCATCAGTTCATGCATTTTTCTCTGGGTACACGTTGGGAATATCCCCTTGATCTCACGGAAATGTGAGTTTGAAATTAATCTGAAGGCTTGTGGATTCACATACTTTTGAATTTCACTGTAGAAATTATTTACAAGAATCTAGAATGACTCCTTCAACCTGGGAGTAGAAGTTGCTAAAAGTCGCCTCTGTGCTGTCAATATAATGAATACTTATCTCATTCAGGGAGATATCAATTATCATTTGAACCGATTGGATTAATAAATCCCGCAATACCATGTCTAAAGTGGACTTGTTTCTAACTGTCGAAGAAATAGACTTTACCCCTGAAAATTTGTCAAAATTCTGAGCAAACTCAATTATTTTTGCATGGTATTGAGCCAAAATTTGCTCAATCTTTGTAATGAAGGTTGAAATAACCTTTTTCATAACATATTTACCCCAGATTCTTCACATCATACGGAGGATGGAGTATTTAGGTATAAATTCCTTCAATTTTCGATTCTTTTTAATCATTGGGTCATCATACACAGAATTAATGGCTAATTCAATAAATGAGAATTCTTCCTCCATGCTCATTATTAAGTCAGAGTATGAGATCCATCGAGTGCCGTACTCGTCTAAGAAGCTCTCTGTGCTTTCCTTTGTTTGTATAACTTTTCATGCGACTTCTCAATGACACTTGATGAACCCCTCAATGCAGAACAGGAGACATAAGATGCTTGATTTTGGGGATTTTCTGACATCAAGTTTATTCCTGTACCATCTGAAATCTTCTAACCAGATCTTTTCACCGTTTTCAATAATTTCCTGGGCAAAAATGTTAGAATTTTCACATATTTTAGCTGCAATAACAGGTGGAATTGTAATATCACCAGAGTTCAAGCTATTTGACAATCTCCACATGTCAGTATAGCAATGTCTGAAAGGAGGTTCTCAAGGAGACAGACTTACTTGTCTTCATAAGCTTTGGTGGACTTTCACTTGGTCTTTTAATTTCCTGCACAATCTTGATAATTAGTTTATTTATTAGCCTCATCGTCATTAAAGTCACCAAAGACAGAGGGAAGGACGTTCCACAATTTGATCTTCAGCCATTTTCTAGTCTGGACTTGGCACTTTAGGAACTCAAACCAGCCATTGTTCTTCAGAGTAGTCTTGGCTTCCTCCTGCTCTACGAATGGATTCCTGAGAAGACTTCACTTCGAAAATAGGAGCCTTTGGGCCTCTCTTTCTGAGAATATTATTAATATTTTGTCCATCATCTTGATGTTATAGTGTTTATTCATCCTCGCGAGGCACACCATCTCCTTGAACTGAAGATAGCTGCATATCTCGAACAAAACCGGAACTGTAACCCTGTCCATATTGAATTTTCTAAAAGTTTTCGAGTCTAAAAATTTTATTGAATAATCAACCAGTGTCTATAATTAGGGGTTTTGGGGTTTTGGGGTTTTGGGGTTTTGGGG